TCCCTGATGACTAAAGACATTAAGAATCTTGTATTCTTCAGTCCTGTCTACTCAGATCTTTTGCAGGTTACATTTGAGCTACATATCATTTTTATTCTTTAGTTATAAGAATTCTTATAAACATCTATTGCATGAGTTATGTTTTTGCTTAACTGATGGTGTCTTTGGAATTACAAAGTGTGTATTTTTTATTAAGGTCCAACTTAGCTATTTTTCTTTTGCTGCTTATGTTTTTATCATATATAACATCACTCATATATATACCCTGTTATCAGGGTTAAAACAACTTTACTCCCACTTCATTTTAAGAGTCTTCATACTGTTTGCTATTTCAAGTTAATTTCTGTAAACAGAAGATTATTGTTTCAGTACATTTCACTGTAAACAGATTCACGTTCATTCTAGTGCATGTAGATACCCACTTCTCTGAGTACTGTCTGCTGAAGACTATTCTCCTGCTCTACGAACTGCCTTGATACCCTTACCAAGAATCAACTGACCATAAATGTAGAAGTTTGTCAGCACTTTTGATTCTATCACATTGAGCTAGGTCTTTATGCCAGCATGCCGCAGCCTGATCACCGTCACTCTGCAGGAAGTAAATTCTGAAACTGAAAGATTCTTTCAACTTTGTACTTCCTTTTGCAGACTATCTTGGCCACTCTGGGCCCCTTGCAATTCCTATATAAATCTAAAGATCAACTTATAGACAGCTGAGATTTTAACAGGAACTTCAATTAATCTGTAGTAAATGGTATTCTTAAACATGGTACTATTACTGGGCTGGCTTTCCATTAATGTCACCCAACAATGTTTTGTAGTTCTGTGAACAAGCTTCAGATTATCTTCTATTAAACTTATTTTATAAGTGGATTTCTAAAACTCATTTCTAGACCCTACATTCCTGCTACACAGGAATGGAATGGGTTGCCACTTACCGCTCTTGTTTCCCACCACTGAGCTCAGGTTTTAGATCTCATAGTATGTTTATACATTCCTTGAGGTTTTCTACCTAAAACTTCATGCTATCTTAAACTGACAGGTTTGCTTCTTCCCCTTCCAATTCCAGGCTATCTTTCTCCCTGATAGGCTCTCTCTCAGCTCCTCTTTCGAGCACTCTCATTGCTTCTAAACTGAAGGAGGGGTGTCACACATGCATGCCTTGATAAGCTTCTCACTAATCCTGAGATATACTGGAAAGAAAGTTAATCATATGTGCGTTCTGAATTTTGTATACTGCATTTGCCTTTGTTCCATCTCCTTTTTGTACTTGACATACTTCTCCCCATCTCAAATGACCAGATAGTTTTCACTCTCCCAGATCTAACTTCAATACACTTCCTTTAATTAAATTTCCCTTTAGCAGCTAGCTCTTGAAAGAAAGTACCTCTCCTCATTGGAAACGCCAACTTTGCTGTACATTATATTCACTTCCAATACATAAACTCAAGGAGCACCAGGCTGACATTTTAAGCTTCAAATGGCTACAAT